AAATGTTACATTTAGCTTTCGCGGTAATGAAAACACGTGGGATATCTGCAGTATTTAAAATTTCACTTTCGTCTGTACAGATTAGCAGCCCAGTAAATTAGAAAAAATAATAAAAGAAATGAAGCTCATTTCTTGCCAAGGTGTTGGTTCGAAATTGCAAATGTGAAAGGCTGTTCAAGTGTGGAGGAATTAAGGCTGCAGTGTAGGTGACAGAAAAGTGAAACCTGAGGTCAGTTGTCTCTTCATGTTTAATGTAGGTGGCTTCGTTTCCTCCTTTTGTCAAACCACCTGTCTTCTTTACACAAAAATGTGGAAATTTGGAAGTTAAATTACATCATAAGATGAATCTATATTCCAATTTTTGAATTCCTGAAATAGACTGCCTTTTTGACGATCTGATAATTTTTTAAATATCTACTGAATTTCCCTAAAAAAATAAAATAAAACAGCTTTTTCACAAATTCTCGGAAAAGTGGACAGCTCATTGTTCCCAACTGCGGCGTACACGTGGCTCCGCTCATTTATGCAGAAGGGATTGGTGGATGTGATTCATAGGACGGACATGGGCTTGGAGTCCTGACGAGACTTACAGACTCCTAAAATATTCCTGTAAATTTAATTGCTTTTTGAAAAGCAGAGCAGCCCTGTTTTATTGGTTCTTCTGTTCTCTGACTGTGAGCTGAATTTAAACCAATAAGCTTTTTCTTTCTTTTTTTTTTTTTTTTTTCCCCCCATATAAAGAACAATGTTGACCAAAAGGCTCAAAGAGCACCAGTTCGTAAGCGAAAGCCTCTCTGTGTTGTTCGGTAGGAACCAAACCGTCTCCGTGTCGCCGGAGGGGTTTAATGATGCAGACCCGTGCCCTCTGAGTAATAAAATGGCTTTTAGGAGAGTAAAAAGCACCGTTAGTTATCTTGCTTGTTCATCCGCCTGCAGTCTGTTTGAAATTACCTTCACTGCATATCCAGAAACGTCTCTTCTGTGTCGCATTTTTGAAAGAGTCCGCCTGACTGTGAGGGCTCTGCTTGTTCTCTGGCATGCAGCCGAGTTGTTGTCATGGCCATTTAGTCATGCACATAAACTGAGATGCATGCATGGATTCGTTTTCCCGACTTATTAAATATTACCTACTGAATGAAATATGTTTTCTCTAAAATTGTTCCAGATTTGTTGAGACGCTCCAAATAAATTTAGTAGATGTTTTAAACTGAAAATAAACTTTTAATTGAATGCTAATTTAAGACTTATGCCATGTTTTGTTGAAAGTCAAAAGCAGTAGCTGCTGGCTTTGCCTCGTTTGAAATCGACACTTTTGGCTTCGGTTTCAAAAACAAGCAAACTGTCCAAGTGTTTTCACATTTTGTTGAAATTTAACCACACATTTGATTTATTCAATAACCAGTTATACTGGGATTTTACATGATCTGAACAGTGTGGCGAACTAACACTTCAACCAAATTGCATTTCTCTGCTGGTCTTTGAGCGGGCTTCTATAAAATCTCAAGAATTTGTGTTTGTAATTTGTCTGAATGCAAAAAGTACTAGAGGTATCTGTACTTTTTTACATCGCTGCATCTGATCCACTGTGTTCCTCTGCATCATGGTTTAACTTCATGATGCAGAGGCATTATGTGTCCTTATGGCTTCCATTTTCAGGTCAACCATATTTATCTCAGACGTTTTTCTGCTTTTAGATACTGGCGAAATCAAATTTCTGGGTTCTTATTCATTTCATTTCTTAATATTTTCCATCAAGTTTCCCTGTTTTCCCGTCAAGCCATTTTTGTACAGTTTTGAAACGCTCCACTGCTTTTGAGCAAAATGTGAACGGGTGCCTGTTTATAAAAATGCACCGGACAGTTTCTGTAGTTCATGGAGCTGAAATGTCTGTTTTATTTTATTTCGCTTAACCTTTGTTTCACCAGGAACGATGGTTGAGAAAAACTTTATGATTGACAAAGTGATTGCTGACTTATCTTTAACCCTCTCCAGGCAGGGGTTGCAGATTTGCAACAACTTAAACAGTCTTTTCAAGTAATTTGAGCCTGAGAGGGTTAAGAATTCTGAAACACTGGATAAGTTATTTGTGTTGGGACGTTGCAAGGCAAAACATACATACATCCAGTCCATTCTACCAACATGAACTGATTTGTTATCACTGCTCACATAGTGACCGTGAACTGAAGGCCGAAGCCAATTCTCCAACCCAAAACACGAGGAAACACTGCCAGCATTAAAATAAAAAAAATCTCTTAACTTGGGCAGATTTTCACCACGTTGTTCAATAAAATTCATTTGCATTTAAATGAGCAATTTAATTTGAAAATGTTAATTAAATGTTTTATCATCGGCCATCCCATATGATTACTTTAACTGATTAGTCATTCTGGGGAAGACTAGCGAGGGCAGCAACATGTAATCATCTTGTCAGCTGCTCTGGTACATCTCTACATCCGAATGCTTTGTTTTTCTTTGTGAAGGAAATTTAAAACGGGGCTGTCCGCCTTTCACTGGTGAGGACAGCGTGTCAGACCTGAGAAGGCCTCAGAGTCAAAGGCAACGTGGTGCTGCTTATTCGTCTCCCTTTGTTGTGATGACAGTCTGAATGTGCACTAAAAGGAGAAAAAGATTTCAGAGGGGAAATAATTAATTCAACTCCTGCTGATTTGCTAGGTTTTTTCACAAAGGAGTTATCAAAGTTCTTTTTTTTTTTTTTTTTGTGGTAGCTTTATTATTTAAAAATACAGAAAGTTAAAAAATGACTTCCATGCCATTGAGTGAAATAACATTTTTATCCGCGCTTTAACCACAGCTTGGTTCTCATTGCAGGAGCATTTGTTGGCAAGCACAGCAGTAAGAGTTTGTTAACAGCTGCTTGGCAGCTTGCAGCTCTGGATTCCTCCTACAAGGTTTTATTTCCTTTTGTTGGATTGAGATCTAGAGACTGGCTCAGCCACGCCACAATGTTGATCTTCCTTTGTCGATGATATGATTTGGGTTGGTTTCACGCTGGACGACCGCATCCGACGTGATGATGAGGAAAGAAGGTTCACAGACCCTGAGCACGGCCGTGTTCGCCGAACCCGCACACCGGTTCAGATCAGATTCATTTTTTACTAATCCAAACTTAGTATTTTGTTTTACCAGTGTAAAACAAAAGCCTCCTGAAGCAGCTTCACAAACAGAAGCCAATAATCATTACTTCTTCCAAAACATGGCCAGTTGATCTCATGCCTAAGAACTTGAACCAAGGCTGCGTTCACACTGCAGCCTGAAGTCACCTAATTCCCATTTTTTGGACGTAATGTGACCTGCATCCGCTCTTCTCATGACAGTCTGAACAACGCAGGTTGGATTTGTTTTAAATGTGACCCGGGCCACTTGGTTATCCGATTCAAATGTGACCTAATGTCCCGGTCACATTCTAAACGTCAATGATATTCAGCAGATCTGACTATTCTGTGCGACAGGAAGAAAAACAACAGCCACTTTGTTGTTAATATGCTGCTCTGGTTGGACAACAACTTCAGATGTGTAAGTTATGCTCCATCCATGTTTAACACAGAGCGCTTCTTCTTTTTTATGGCGGCTGGCAGAAAGAACACAGAACGCTGACGTCATCGCGTCCTCTGCTGCGCATGCGGGACGCTTCCAGATCGTTTGCCGCTCGCATTGCAGAACACATACGAGGTTGCATATGTTTGGCAGTGTGAAAGGCCACAGCAAAAAAAAAAAAAAAAAGCGAGGGATCATTAATCTCTCCATGAGGCAAGAACTGCCGCGTAACTTCAAACACATGGATGTTCATTTTACGTTTCAACTATTTCTGAATATTACACCAAGTACGATCACCTTTGCACGAAGCTGTTGCAAACGTCTGATAACTTGTATTGGATGTCATTTGACAGCTGCTTACACACAACATACATTTAGAGGTGATCTAGTCGATCACAAGTCCGACCGTTTTGTTTGTAAGAAATAAAAACATTCAGTTGGATATTAGTAATATCACGCTTTTGTCATTTTTTTCTTTATTTTTGCAGTTTCGGTATCCATTATGCCCAATATTTTTGGTCATGTAATTGTCTTTTAAATCAGGACATCCTCTATGAACCGTGGCTCAATTCATACCCATCCATGGGACGTCTTAAATTTACTATGGCAATCAATCATAGAAATATATGGTTTTATGGCTCCAATAACGCTTATCAACCAACAAGAGGACACATAAATGTTTTGGTTGGATGGGTTGTTATATTTTGAAAATGAAAGAGGCACAAACACTGATCAAAGCTACACGGAAAACACAGTTTTCAGGAAATAAAGAGCCATTTTATTAAGTTGTACAAGAGATTTTTATGATAATTAATCCCCTTGATTCATAATAACAATTCCATTAAATTGAAAAAAAGGAAAGGAAACTAAATGTTGTGACTTGCATTACCCGAGTCTCTTCAAAGATTTGTTGTAGGATCTCCTGCAGCAGTCAGTATTACACCAAATAAGAAGAAGCCTCTGACTGAAGGCACTCTGTTGTTGGCAGTCTCATTAAAGGGATGGTTACAGTTGTCCACGATGTATTTCAGTTTATAAGGAACGACTTACTTTAACATAATAAAAAAAAAATGCATGCAGTTAAATTAGATGGCCATAAACTGATTTGCTTACAGGCAGGAAATGGCGAGTGAGATGGGACAAAATGGCAGTAGATAGACTCACAATTGTGATACAAATTAACAAATTAACCTGGAAGACACTGTGTCAAGGAATTGAATATTTCTTTTTGTGTATCGTATTAATTCTTGTTTGCTATGACATCTTTTCACGTCACAACACTGGAACACTGGAACTGGCAAATAAATGATAAACCGCTCATCGTTTTGATGCAAGAAAGCTCTATTTAATTAGCAGCTAATTCCCCAACTGTGTCATATTCTAACCTGAGATGAATTCGGTTCATTTTGACCTCATTGTTGTTGTTGTTTTCTCCTTTTGAACAGAATAATGCTGCGTGGACAAACTGAAGAGTAGCAACACCTGGTTTCCTTATACAGAACAGAGGAGATGTCCCAGAACCCCGTCTGCAGCGTGGACTGCAGATTCGTCACCACCTTCGGCCTGGCCGTACTGTAGTAGTTTGTAGTGACTACTGCCAATACGTAATGAGCACAAACACCCGAGGACGGACAGAAGCAGGTTTTGTTTTTATTATTCTTGTTTGGGTTTTTTTAATTGTTTTTAGGAAGAGATGATCAAAGAGGACTCTTTCAGCTGCAGCCTCAGCAGAAGAGAGACGGGTTCATTTTACTGCTTAGAGGGTTTTTCTTGATCCTTTAAAAGCAGCCGGCGACGAACTGGAAACCCGAAAGCCCGCCGGCCTACAGACACAGTTTCTACAGTAGATATAAGATGTTTATCACACCGCTGTGTCACTTTGTGTTCAGTAGCAGTTAGACACAGTCATGGATTATCTATTTGGTGAATTATTTATGTGAACTAGTAGGAGAATTTCTATGAGTGGCTAACTTTCTGAACATATAACTGCTTAGGTTGATGCTGAGCATCTCACTTAGAATGTTTTTTTGTTTTTTTTTATTTGTTGTTGTTAAAACCAGACAAACGTGTTCTCAGTGATGCTAAAAAAAAAAAAACATAAGAAAATGTTTGAACTCCTCCTTGATAAAGACACAGCATCACACAGTTTGTCCCCTGGTGGTTTCATGATCCTGACATGAAGTCCTCCAAAGGTTCTGTCTCTTCACCCAGAACATTATTGAGGATCAGGGATGCCTTCGCAGCAGCAGGAAGCTTTATGCCAAGTTTAAACACGTCCGCAACAACAAAGCCAGTTCGATACTTTAAAGATTAGTTTGTAATATTACGACTCGTCTGAAGCTGTACAAGCGGCAGCTTCATTAGCAATATGATGCAATCGATCAACATTAAGCTCCTTTATAAGGAGCACTCTGTATCCTGCTCTGGTAATTGATAATTAGCCATGATTTAAGAAAACAAAAAAAGGAAATCCATCCAGGCCCCATCAACACTGGCAGCAATAATGTACAGCAGCCTAATCAGAAAGATGAACTGGTGCCATGAGTCCAGTAGGTTCTGACTGGGAAAATCACCCAAACGCCTCACCGCAGACCGCGTATGCAGAGAGGAGGAAGAGAAAAGAACATGTTCGTGTTTCAGAGTAATGGACTCGTAAGAAGGTCTCCAAAGATTCCTGTGTCAGCTTGGTAGGAGCTAAATTATCACCGCTTTGTGGCAGAAAGCTACTGGAGAGTCACATCCAATCAGAGCTTTCAGACTCCAAGTCATTTACTGAAAAATGCAAGTCAAAATGCCCTCCATGATTTTCAAGTCTCAATTTGTTGGTTTTACAAAACAAAAGCCTAAAACCACGGTACAGTGCCTTGTAAAAGTGTTCAAACCATGTTGACGTCTTAAAAGTTTTGTTTACATCACAACCACACCCTCAGATGTATATTTTTGGGAATTTTATGTAGTAGAAGAATCCTAAGTTGTTCATAACTCTGACCCGGACAAAAGATATTTTGCCCATGCTTTGAAAAATAGCTCAATGAATGGCGCCACCATCTTTCCCTGTCACATATGGTACATTCAGTGTGATCTGCTGTGTTTTCCTCCAAGCGCAATGTTTGACATGTAGCCAAAAAATATATCTTGGTCTCATCTGATCAGAGAACCTTTTCACTCACGTATGCAGAACCTCCTAAACACGAAATGCGGCAAACAAAAAAATAGAAATTCTTCGAGGTTTCTTTCAATAATAATCCCTTCCTGTCTTCGTGCCACATGAAGAGCAGCTTCTCCCACCTGAGGCCTTCGTCAAACATTTGGATTTTCACTGAGCTTCAGCCGAAAGGCGGCTGGTTGCCCTGGATTTTATTTTAAATTCTCCGAAAATACGTCGAGGTTCTTGGTTGTGATGTGGCAAAGTGTGAGAAAAACCTGTAGGGGTGTGAATACTTTTGCACAGCACTGTACGTGTATTTATTTATTTATTTTGGATTGATGAGTGATTATAAACGAGTTAAATATAACTACCTACTATCGCGACTTCACACTGATTTTAGTGCCTGTTAGTCCACCGCCTGTTTTGCCCCGTTAATGAATGCTTTGCTCGAGTTTTATCTTAAACTTGCAGAAACGTCTTCAGCTGCTTTGTCCTTTTGTTTTGCTGATTTATTCGTTCAGTCGGGTCCCATTTAGACACACTTAATGATCTGCCACAGTGGACAAAGTCATAAAACCTCAGCATTCACATTTAAATGGCTTAAAGAGACATTGGAGTCACTTTTGCTCCGAATATTAATTACAGAAACACCAAAGTGATTCCTAATTGACTGACTAAAGGATATAAGGACAATATTCAGCTCTACAATCATCTGAAGATTAATGCTTCGGGCCAAAGTATTTAAAAAATCCCTTTCTTTGTGGAAAAGTTATACAAAGCAACTTGTGGTCATTAGACCACTGACTCCAAACAAAAAAAAACAAACCTGATGGAGGATTTGATTCTTTAATCTCAGCGCTCCACGGAGGTTAAGTGGAGCCGATCGGCGGCGGCCGAACGGCGTCCGTTACCCGTTATCTCCAATGATATTCAAATTTGCAGAGCCGCTAGAGCAACTTAATTCCCACTTTCAGTCGCTGAAGTTTAATTGCGCGCTTGCCCCAAAAGACTTGTTCCATCAACTTCTAGGGGGCAGGGAAGAGGCGGGATGTGTCCAAGCGAAATAATTGGCCCACAGCTCAGTTCTGGCTTTAAATTACTCTCGCTGGCTCAGAGTGTGACGAACAGCAGCAGCAAACAGGAAGGTGAGAGTTTTAACAGGGTGCGGCAGGAGAGTAGTTTCCATAAATCTGGATCAATTTAGAATTACGTTATATATATTTTTAGCGCTGTAGGAAGATCTTTCTTTCTTTCTTTCCATATCACTGATTATAAAATGCATTAGTCTTACCCAGGAAATTTTAAATCCAACATAATTTCAATATGCCTCTGACAAGCAGTAGCAGGATCGTAGATGGAGTTCATCATCCAGAGATGTTTCAGGAATCCTGACTTGTTTTCAATGTTCCGACCTGGTTTTATTTATTTATTTTTTTGTGATGTTTTCTGTTTCGTTGACAGTAGTCCTTCCTCTGGCCTGACGTGATGTGGTACTGTTAATCGTATCAGCTCAAGCCTTTCTCCTGTACCGAAAATAAATAAATAAACAGATGGGAGGGATGGGGGGGGGCAGAGGAAGCACACAGCTGTTTCGGGCTCTCCAGCTTGTTATGGTAACAGTTGCCTTACAGTCAAACCCCCACCTGTACACAGAAGCGTTGTGGTGGTCGATACCTCACGTTCCTCTGGGTGTGGCGATGAGGGCGACGAAGGCCATGACGTGCACCGCGTTCTGTCTATGTACCTCCTACTAGATAGAATGTAACTTTTTTCAGTGAGATTGTAATTGCACTCGTTGACTTTGTATTGTCACAAAAGGGAGTAATAATAAAGTTTTATCTTTTCCAGTGTGTTTAAATCCCTCTGTGTGAAGTTGGTGTCTTTGACAAAAAGGGAGGAAAATCATCAACAGGATCACGAACGAAGCGACTAAAATTAGGCTGTAAATGTACTATGCTGAGTATGTAGTTCATCGTTTGATGGCGAAGACGCCGGGTGACGGCAGACTGACGGGGAACAGGAAGGAGAGGGGCGGGGCCAGGGGGTACCTTTGCTTTTTGTTTTTTTTTTTGGTCGGGCCTGGATCCCATCGCAGCTCTAGTTTTGTTTAAATTTGTGCAGCGGAGCAGCAAAATTATTGAAATAAAATATTACCTGAAACATCAGGGAAGAAGCAGAGGTCCTATTGCCAGATCTATTTATTGCTACTAATTTATGTTTATTACCTTGAAAAAGTATTTTTGCACTTTTAAAACTTTTATACCCATTGTCATGGTATAACTACAAAAAGCAAAAAATGAGAGGCCACAATTTGGAGCTGCAGAGTGTCGAGCATTTCTATTTGGCCTCCATTTTTAATCTGAGACTCCTAACAAGCGCCATATATATTTTTTTTTAATAAAAGGACTTTTCTGTCGGTGGTGATCTGAACTGGGTTTTCACGCCAAGCTGAAGTTGAGGGAGGTTCAAGTTTAGCGTCAAAGCGTTACCTCTTACTTTGCATGACAGGTAATGTGTAGAAATGATGTTTTCATAAATTGGGCCGTCGTAGGATTTGTGTGGCGCCAAAAAGGAGAGGTTAGCCCAGGGCGCCATTCATCTAAGAACCGCCATTGAGCCAGTAAATAGAGTTTGCCCGCGAGTAATTTATCCTCTGTAACTCCAGCTGTTCTGACGGCCCTCAGGGGTCGGTAGAAAACATTAGTGAACAAACACCATCAGTCGAGGAAGCACAGGAGACGGGTCGGGGTTGGAGCTGCGGTGAATTTTAAAGATCGATCAGACTCCACAACATTATTCCACTATCGATGCGTAAAACCTTACATCATTTCTACCATTAAATGTGGTGGCATCGTCCTGAGGAAATGTTTTTCTTTAGTAGACGTGGTTGATTAGATTAATTAATACCAGACAATCCAGGAGGAAAACGTTTTAAGAGGCTGTAAACGTCTGTTGGTCTGTTACACACAATCCAAAAAATATTCCCCCGAAGTCAGTGTGACAAAAAATGAAATGACTGAACTGGAGGTCTCAGGTTTAAGCTTTTGATTTTGTTGTCAAAATGTTTTTAGTCATTTAGTTGTTTATTTGCAGCTAAATTAAGTCATAAGGAAGCCTGAAGGTTAGTTTGCCTTCCTGTTTGTAGAGTTTCCCAAATCAGCAAACACACAAGTATCATTACTGCGGTGAGACAAATGACCGAATCAATCGAAACGCTTCTGCAACAACTTTCTAAGCAACGGTGAAAAAAAGAGCAGCTGAGATTAAGTGCAACAAAAAACTGGATTCAGGTGGATGTTTCTTACAGCCTGTGTGCAGCAGGAAGAGGATTTATTTTAATCCACTGAGTAGATGAGGAGCATTTGTCTTCTGAGGACAATTTTTTTTTAATAGTCTTGCTTCAAACAGGTCGTAACTTAATGGAGTCTGTCAAAGGGGTTTCTAACAACAACTTTCTACAGAATCATTATTATTATTGTTATTATCATTTTACGCATTACTGATGTACCAAAGGCTCCTAAAGTATGAAATAAAGTTATTTTTTCCCTGTTTTGTTTAGCAACTCAATACTGATGGGGGGGAAACTTGTATAAAATCCATTCTAAGCTAAAAAGAAGGAAACATCCACTTTTACTCTAGCAGCAATTAGTACCAACTTCTCTTGTGGCATAATCTATAAATAAAGTTAATTTAACTGTTTAATAGAGAGAAAATGGTGACAAGTATCACAGTAAGAGTAATAAAAGATGTTAACTTTGGAGACAGAATTCAAGCAGAAAAAAAGAGTGTATGCTTAAATTCATTGTTTCTAGTTTTTTTCTGTCACGTTTCTTAAAGACACAGCTTTCAAATTCTCTTTTTTTCAGGACACGGTTTGAGGTTTAACTACTCGTTCTTTTCTCCTTCACTTGTCCAGTTTCCAGAGATTTACGAAGGGACATCAAAGATTTAGGATATACAGTACTTCCCACCAAAACATTTTGGTAAGGTAGTATTTCTTCCTAAATTGCCCACATAAATCCCATAATGTGTTTGCCAAGATTGCATTGGGTTCGTTGGACTTTCTTCAAAGAATGATTTAGAGAGTGCGGCCGCGGGGCCCCCACGGTGAACAGTGAGAGCCAGTGGAAAGGGGGCATTGGATGTCATGAGCACATTGGTTTAAAAACAAACAACCGTGACGTTTGGACGTGAAGAAACAAACACCTGGATTGTGAAAGAACGAGAGTTTGCAACCATCCAACAGGCAGCGGCACTGCTAGCAGCTCGTTTGACTGCTGTATTTGCGCGGCTAAAAAGACAAGTGGCACCGGCTCTTCAGTTCTGGTGTCACTAATTGACATTAGTTCTGTCAGCAGCACGCTGCCAGACCACATTGCACCTTGCGTGCTGTCGTGTCTGAGTGCTTTCTGCAAGCTGGCGTCTTGTGCCGAGCCAAAAGCTTGCAAGACAAGAAGTCCCGGTTACAGCGAGTCTATTTCCACGGGAAATGCTAAGTATTGATCTAATAGCAGATCCAGACTTTCGTCTTATCAGGAAGATGGCGCAGGAACTCACATTCCTAAGTGGAGCACTACTCATGCCAACTAAATCATGACAAGAACAGTAGAGCTGTGATAAAGTGTTCGCCCTTTTGCATAATTATTTTCTTTTTTGTCACAATTACACCGCAGATCATCAAGCAAATGTTAAAAATCCAAGATTACTTGATTAAATACAAAAACAGAGCAGATGAAAACGTTTTCGCTTGTGATATATATGTAGAAATGTTTGATTAAAAAAAAGCACATATTTTCCTAACTAATTTCGCTGTCATTGTGCTCTGGAAATTTAATGCAAACTATTAAAACACCATTAAAAAGTTTTTAATACCTTCCACCCAGACGCTGCTGACCTTTTAATTTCATTGCCTTTTGTTAAGTTTTGGTTTTATAGCTTAATATACCCCCAAATTAATTTATCTTCTGCGGCTCGTCATTAGTCACCACATTACCCGATGATGCATCTATCACTTAGACAGCGGTCCTCAGTAGGGGGACAGAGCCTCAGAGCTCGCCAACATGGCAACATCATTAAAGCGATGAGCTGAGGGTGAAAAAGTCAGCAGACAGACAGACAGACACACGAGAACTCGACACCTCGCTTCAAACCAGACACCTGCTACCGCCTGCCTCCAACAAGAGTCCCGCCCTGAACCCCCAACCAATAAAGCTTTTCTCCATCACCTCAACAAAGTCCTGTGGAGGATTTCCTAACAAGCTCTGACTTTTACCAACTCTGCCAGAGATAAAAACCCAGGTTCAGGTGGCGAGGCTGCGCTCTTCCTGCTGCCATCTTCACCTCCACCCTAATCCATCAGAGTCCATTTTACTTTCCACTTGCCCAGTTATGAGCACTCTTCCTATTCGTGCTTATGAAACAAATTGCTGCCATCCATCACCATTTAAAAGCCATTGTCTGGATTTCCACATCCTGTTGTTATTGCAGAGCCACAGATACATCCTTCCGACATTTATCTATTAAAACTCCATTAGACCTCGGCTTCGTAATACCCTGCCTACTTTAGCGGGAGCTTCAGTAACACTGACGCCACATTAAGATCCATCTGATGCAGCACACAGCCTCACCCTGAACTGGACTTATTATACACAGATAAACTACTGTAGTTCTGACTCCTGGAAGGTATCTGGAGATGTGTGTCATGTTGTTGAAGTTATGGTCTTCAATCAGCAGCATTATGGACTTTTGATGTTCAAAATATGGATGTGGAACGATTGGTAAAGTCACCGGAGTGGTGGAGTCATGTCATGACACCTAAAGCAGATCTGATGAGGGATTTCGATTGAGTTTATCCAACAAGCGATTCAGTTGAACAATTCATTGTGTTAAAAATATATAGATGCCGTTGAAAATACAAAGGCAGTCTAGAATGTGATGTTTAAACTGAATGAGAGGGATTTAATAAAATCCCACTCATTTTTAAACTGGAATTGATGGATTATATTTTGCATATATCTTGTGTAACCAAAGAGGAAGTTGATCAGATTATTCTGATGGTCTAATGCTTGATTATTGTTTATTGCTCATATATATAAACAAACAATTCAATTTGTTCATTTTTGTAGATTTTTGTTCTGAAGCAATATCCATTTTGTTTTTCTATAACGTCACAACCGCAAATCTCATTGTGTTTTACAAAGTCGAAGGAAGATAATCAAGGCCCTTTAACATTTTATGCAAATAAAAAAGTGGCATGTCGCAGCTCTATTCACGTATCCCAAAATAAACGAACAAATCAAGTGGCTCCAAGGTGATGGAAACGTGGATGAAGGTAATATAAATCTGAAACTTGTTAGAAAAACAAAACCAAAAAACTTTTCTACAAGTTTAAAGATACTGCCCAAGCTCAAACGAATCAACATGAAAAATATCCTAGAACAGCCTAGTCCAAGTCCAGATCGAAATGCACTTGAGAATCTGTGACAAGACTTCCAAATGTAACGACAAACAAATAAATAAAAATAACAGAAAACAATGCACTCTGTAGTTGTAGAAGGCTCAAAGCTCAGGCTAATAGACTTGCAACAGGAGGAACAGCAGAGAGCAGCTACAATAAAATCAAAGACTCTTTAATGCTCAGGAAACATAACAATATATTTCATCACTGAGTCACAAACATTAAACCTACACTTGTTGCAGGCAACCAAGACATATCGGGCTTTTCTGTTATCCGGCAATGAGAAGTTGCAGATTAACATCTAATAGTGCTTGTTAAAGGTCCTGAGTGGGAGTGAGGTTACACTGAAACAGAAACATCTCTAAGAAGATGCATCAGTATCTTCATATGGGGTAAGAAATCACAATGTTACATAAAGCAACTGCTTGTGGCTAAATTTGGCCTCCCCAGTAGGCAGCTGTATCTGAACACATAAAGCAACTTTGTTTTAGATTAACTAATTGCCATTGAGCTTTAATATTAATGAGGAGTTACACATGGACTCACTTAAAATGTCTGAATATTTTCTTTTTTTTTAATGAAACATATTTGGTCAACTAATCTCAGCCTGAACACATTTTTATGAAGATTTTTAAATGTCACAAATTCAATTGAATGTTTCCCTTCTGAATACTTTTATTAAAAAGATACATTCCTTTATACAGAATATTACATCACTTCGTTACACACACAACCCTAGTTTTAAAAAATAAAATAAAAAATGATTTGCACTGTGACATTTTCCCAGATTTCTCCTCGTTCTTCGTGAGTCAAGACCATGAGTGGCGCCGCTGGTTACGTAACGCCTTGTTTATGTTTGCTGACCAGATGTCACACAGCACATCCCAAGAAGAGACGGCCAGACCAACGTTATGCACTGAGTCACTTTTCCTTTACTTATTGACTTTACAGCCGGAGCAGGATACCCATGTAGAGTTGGGGGTGAAGGACTGAAGAGAAAAGGAATTAAATATAATCCCACACTGACCCTATCGCAATATAATCCCACAATTTCTGAAGAAACTGAAAAAGGAAAAGTGTAACTAAGTTACAATCAAAGTAACGATTTTAGTTACTTTCAGCAGCTGCTAACAACAACAACACTCCGCCACCTGTGAAAATGATATTGATCTTTGCCAAAACTTAATTGCAAGTTATTTTATCATGATTACATCAACAATGTGTTTCCATTTATGGTCGAACTGAAGGGGAGATTGTTTAATGGTTACAACAGTACTAAAAAGCTTTAGCAATTTTTGCGTGTTTTTTGTTTCTATTGTCTGGAAAATAAGAAGGATTTTGGAAATTTGCAAGAGTCCATGATAATACTAATAGTGTAGATTCTCCACATGCTATTGACTGTGTTTTAGTTAACATCGGCATTGTTGCTGATTTTCACCATCACAATCCTGGGTTCCAACTCACACATAGGCTTTGGCAGGCCCCTTTTACATTTCTCCTGAACATTTCTAGTTATGGTTTTAGCATAACTCATAACGTTTTCATTGAGCTGAAACTCAGATTGTTGTCTAAAACCTATATAACACAGCCACTTATATAAAACAGTTTAGTATCTGTTTATGTGAATTACTCTCTTTTTCCAAAGCACCTTTTTGCCTTTATTTCTCTTTCCGTCTGGTATTTAATGAATCAACGCAGCAGTTAATTGCTGTTCAAACACACCTCCTCCAACGCCTCCAGCTCTGAAATGATTGTATTTAAAATATAATCAAACGACTCCTGAGAGCAGCAACAGAAAGGAAACGGATGATATTCTGTAAGAATTTTATACAGCGATGCTTAGCATGCAGTCAGACTGGCACTGATGGGATTTAAATCATATTCATTAGGTACAATTACCCATTTGATCTCCAGGCCTAAATAAATTTGAGAATACGTGGCAAGTTTTAGAGGTTTAAACTCATACACAGCCTCCGTCCAATCTGTCTGAGCTTGAGCTGCGCTGGAAAGTTAAAAGCCAGCAGAGACATACGCTGAAGAACTTGCAGCGGCTCTTGGAGAAGCGTTTCTGCAAAGTATCCGCTGCTCTGTGATGGTCCATCAAACAAAACACCAACAAAATAATGCTACAAAATGAGAAAAAGCACATAAAGTTGTCTTTTGCAACTCACTGTAAGCCAACAGAAATAGTTGAATTGACTATTTCTGTTGTAAAGAGAAGTAAAGAAGATCAGAATAAAAGATTTTCTCATTCTTCACAAGGACTCTCTCTACTTTTTGCACCAACTGCTCCCAAGTCTGGATTTTGTTTTGCACTCAAATTGAAAAATTATAATCACGCATGAATATAGAAATTAAGATTTGTGCACTTGTTACCAAAAGCAGATGACCAGACCAGCGGCAGCGGCTGTGGAAGTTTTTTTTTTTTTTTTTTGGTGTGCCTCGTGAAGATGTCGGTGCAGAAAGTCACAGCGTTGGAAACAGCAGAGCAGCAGAGCACTCCTCTGTTCAAAGAGCAAAGAGAACAGCATGTTTTCACTCTTCTCCCAGGGGCAAGAGTTTAATAATAATAACAGTCAGTTTTTCTTTTTTTTTCTTTTTTTTGTTGATCCTCTTCTCTTGGCTCAGTTCCTCCTTTTTGTCCACGGAGAAATGCATCTGTTTGCTGCGACATGAGACGCAGACATTATTACTCATGTTTTCCGTCGACATGTTTGGATGGGCTCCATGTATGCACAGGTTTATTTTTGTTTGCCTTCCTACAAATTGCTTCACAATCCGTTTCAAACGCTGAGAAATCCAGTAAACCTCGCAGTAGTTAAGAGTTCAGCATTTATCTGAGAATGATCATTTCTCCTCCCGATGGATTAGCAGCTGTTGTCAGGCTGCATTTGTGACCTTTTTGCTGATTTTCATGCAGAGTTAAAAGACATTAATCTTCTCTGACTTTCACACTATGGCGTGTCACACAAATAGCCCATCAGACATCATTTCTGTAGCTCTGTGATCCCCAAACAGATACCTGGGAACTTGTCCTCATGTGTTAGTGTCTTACAAAATGTTTGGATAGCAAACTAAACTGCTATTAATTGTAATCGGACTTTCCTCTTTTTATTATGCTTCCCTCAAATGAATTGGCTTTTTGGAATCTTTATCATATTCAAAGATTCACCAAAGTTGGCAGATGTCTCAAGTCTTTGCGAAAACTTGAGACGTATTTTAAGGTTGTCGCAAAAGTCGCAACAGAAACGGCTCAATGGCGCCATCTGGCAACTTTCAAAATACCATCTGCAGTGACCTAGCATCATCGTAGAGGCATTACATTGTTGTAGAGCTCCCCAAGACACAGAAAATTCAAATAACATCATAGTTCAAGTCAAACAGGAAGTCGGCCATTTTGGATGGAAGTTTCGAATTTGGTCCCATTTTGGCCGTTTGCAGCCTTCACTTTTGATCAAACTCCTCCTGGGGATTTCAATTGATCGGCTTCAAACTTGGTTAGTTTGTTCATAAGGCATGGCCGATTAAAAGTTATCAAAACCGTCAGTTTTTGTGGTTACTGAAGTGGCGCTGCCAGGGGTCAAAGTTCACATACTCTCCATGAAACACAAAACTGTTGCATGTTACATTCACAAGCAGTAAAAACTGCTCAAGATACTGTAAGAGCAGCTGTGAAGGGGGGGACCAATCAAAGTTTTTGTCATGGGGCCTAAGATTCCTGGCAGCACCTCTGGGTGTGAAAATGAGTTTTATTCAGATTACATTAGCAGAAACACAGGAGGAAGCATCAATATCATTTTTAGGAGTGATGCAACAACTATAAACAATTTATTCAGGCTGAATTTGAAATATAAGAGGAGACACATGAAACCTATGAATTGTTTTACCAGGGAGTGAAGCTTTATTGAACTCCATACACAACCAAGAACACATATGACCTAATATTTATCCAGTCAATTAAGTTACATCCACATGCCGTACCTTGAATATTTCTTTATCTACGTACAGCAAGTCTTGTTCGTCGTCCATTAAAACTCTAATGGCTGATGTTGATACTGTCACTGTCAGAGAAACATATTATTCACAATAACATTCAGAAATATAAAAGTAGACAAAACTTTGCAAAGGTTTTAGTGGTAACAGTAAAAATCTTTCTGTTTTGGCCCAACACTGAGACGTTTCAGCACGGAAAACCTGGAAAACAAAAATCTGGTCTAAACTGTGAATGACTCTTTCTTTTCCTTTTCTGCTGCCAGTCGTCTTTTTCCCCATTATGCCAGTCAGATGTTAGCAGTTTTCTGGACGTTGAGCTTTCTTTGCATAAACTGACTCCAATCGGCTGCCTCAGTCATGCTTCTCTACCTGAGGCTCTGTCAGGTGTGCACAGTCTTCAAGAAATATCAGGTTTTTTGACTCATTGAACTTTGAAGTATTTGCTGTCCTCCAATTTAATAAAAGTACAATTTAATACTTTTTTTCAAGAGAAGATATACTTTTCTCCCCGAGTTCTCAAGATATTTACAAAAAAATCTATATAAAAAAACACACACACATTTAGCCTTTTCATAAAAGCTAAAAATGTTCCAAAATAGATCCCACTGTTTAAATCTAAATTTGTATGACCCAAAAAAGAAAAAATACAGCAATAAATTACACAGTGATCACTTTCCCCTCCAGTCTTCTTGCTCATTTCCAGCAGCTCGGCTCGTCTTCGTCTTCCTCCCTCAGTTCCTTTTGTGCTTCCTGAACAGGGCGTAAAGGACCTTCAAGGTGGCGGCGACATCCTGAGAGACGATATCTGTCACAATGTTCACAGGACAAACGTTACGTAATCAGCCAGGCCAAGTCGAAGCGGTGCGACTGCGACGACACTTTGTGGGCATTAGCTAATAGCTCCTCTTACAATCCACTCAGGCAGGTCAACAGATCAGGAGGACAAGAAAAATCCATTAGGCAGAAATTTGATCTCTCTGTCCCTGGTGGGACTCAGTAAGTGGATGAACGTGACATTAAGATTGACTCCATCGCTTGCTCGAATAATTAACGCGCTCGGCGTGCTTCCGTTTAAAGGCCTTTACTCCTGGAATTCCTCCTTTCATTACAGCAATTACGCCATTAATTAAAAAGACAGTAAAAATGAATTGAATTAACTGCTACCTCTTGGACTTAGATTAATGGTGCCGGGAATTTATTTTAAAGTTGAAAAGGCGCCGTGCGTGTCCGGTGGAGAAGACAGTTTGAGTGCTTGTAAGAGGGAAGCTGAAACTCAGCCAGCAGATAATCCAGTCGGTGATGGATCTGCACAGAGGAGAGGCTGACCCGTTTGGTTATTGATGGATTCGTATCCATCGATACCAATTGCTGGATCAATATCAAATCAATCCGTTTGGTATTGATGGACTCAGGTCACTGCTGCTCCTGTCTAAAGGAATGACGGTGGTCTGAGACTGAGAAAATCCTCTTCATGCATAAACACTGAGACACGCTCATTTATATTCCCTGAACAATTTCATCTTTTCCCTGTGAAACGCCGTCAATCCCACCCTCCTCTCCAGCGATTAAATCCGCCGTGGACAAAGCGTCCCGCCTGACACACAAACAGATTTTTAGCTTTTCCCATTTCAGCCGGATAAACGCTCCTGATAGAGGAGATAATATGAATTAGTTTGACACTGCTGTCTTGCAGCCGGGGCGCTTTCAGCTATCTGACTCGGTTTGCAGTAATTTTACAGACAGTAGATTTTGTGCTGTGTTGCGATTGTGCTTTTTGCTCCTCTACAAAGTGGCGTCATTTTCCTCACCTTGCGGGTCAATACTGGGCAGCTGCAGGCCAATCTCATCCAGGAGACCCAGAGCTAACGTCACATTATGAAGCTGCGGTCCAAAACAAAGCACAAAGAAATACCACACATTTGTCAAAGTCAGCTTAAATAATGGTAATTTACAATTAATGTCATTTGAAACTGGATTTATTTAAAACACAAATTATGTTCAGTTATAACATCAATATTTCGTTTTGCGGTTGCAGGCACGCCTTGTGTTTTTTGTATTAACTATTAAAAACTCTTGGTAGTAGGTGTGTGGAAAGTCTTTAACATATCACTACTAAACACCAGGCACAAATATATGTTCTCGACTGTTTTTAAATGATTGTTTATATCATTTTACCATCTATGTTAGTGGATATTGTTACCCCAGTGAATTATTCATGAACCCGTCATACGTCAGATAAAAGAGGTTTTACATTCACAGGCCACATCCTGTTGGCCCAATGTAAATTAAGATCAAAGATATAAAGAGTGCTTTATGACGATAATTGCATAAATACATTTGATCAAAACATCATAACAGGCACTTGTGCCTGGTTTTAGGAGGTTAGATAAGAAATTAGATACATAAAAGCAAAGGTATTTAGAAATCCTGGTAGAATGAAGGACTTCATCCAACAACCGTTTATTTTAAATATATTAAAAAATTCACGTTAAGATGTTGACATCTAATGAAAAGAAGAGTTCAAACTTTTAAAAAATCACACATGCCCCACCATCTCAGCGTCGTTAACAGGGGTCAGGTGGAAGTCGACCAGCGGGATGAAGAAGCCTTCCAGTTGACCAATCAGCAGCAGCAATATCACTCCATCAGCAAACTGGGACAGAAACACGGGGCTTTGGATCTCGTCCATATGCGCAGTGATAAAATCTCAGGAAAGCTGAAAGTCGGGTCTATTTTTATTACTCGGCAGCCTGTAATAAACGAACCTGTTTGTCCATATCAGCCACCTGCAGACCCAGGGTTGCCATGTTCTGGTTGACGAAGTGTAAGATGGCCTGAAAGTGGAAGTTGAGGAGTAAGTGAGTAAGCAAAGGTGCCATCGCCAAAGTCATCCACTGCAGTGTGAGTGACAGAAGGGGATTATGAAATCAGCCTCATAATAAAGTAGCATCTGTCATTGTCTGCAGCCAATACTGCAAGACATGCAATAAATTGGTCAAACAGCTGAAACGGGTTTCCTCTAGAGAGACAAAACTATGACAGTACATCATATAAACATGTAGGTCAAGCAGTATGGGGATTATTGGCAAGGAGCATAACTGCAATGTCAGCTCATCAACAAATAACTTGTTTTGATGAAAAATGATCTCTTTAGTGGCCAGCTGGGCTTACAACACATCACAGATCAAATGTTTGAAATGTTTTAAAGGACATAGTTTTGCATCAAATGCTTCTGTCTTTACTTTACTGGATCTCAGTGCTTCATTTGATCCAATCGCTGGTCATGAAATATTGGCAAACAGCACAGTTGTTGGTTTATTTGTGAAACTCCTAAACATCTAATTTAGCAAATCAAGACCAAGGCTCTGTTAGTAAAAGGATAGATTTTCAAATGGGGTTATTGAACAACACAGAATGGTGTTGGACCTGAGCGTCTCGTGGGAACCTTTTGGACACCTCAGGTCTTCAGAGACTCATTAGGACCGGCGCGGACAACATTTCGTTTCTACGCTCCCCGACTCTGGAACGAACTCCCTGTAAGCCCGACGTCCAGAAACTATTGGATTCTTTAAATCAGGACTGGAAGCATTATTAGCTCTTACAAAACACTTCAAGGCCGGATTAATACCTATGATCACTGATGCACAGATTCACATGCATTGCTAATTATGGAGCTAACTAAAGCATTCTGCTTTAATTACATAATTTCACATGATGGATTCAAAAATCAACAGTGCATTCATTTCTCATTGGCCTATTTGTGTGAAGAGATATTAAACTGGCTGGACTTTTTGTAGTTTAGATCTGCAACACAGGATAATCCACAAGCCCACACAGTACGAGTTGTATTTTATGTATTAACTTTACAAATCTCTAAAGTTGATCAACACCTTGAACAATGCCAGAATGTCTCCTCCTGTTCTTTTTTTTTTTTTTTACCTTCTTCACTGTGTTGACCTTGTTAGCCTCAAGCTTCAGCAGTTGCTCAATGGGATCTTCCCCTGGGTTGGTGAGACATCCAGAAAAATGTGTTAGTGGGCTTTAATGGCGTTTGGATGACATTCAGGATGCCACATCGGCTCAACCTCTGACCACTCTCACTCACTTTCAGGATAGCCGGAGGAGTCTGAGCCTGCATTGCTGCAGAACAGGGAAATAAATGTGATATGACTTCTGTTTGTTTTTGTTTTGTTTTTTTTGTCAATGAAATCAAAGTAAGACACAAGCAAGACGCAGAAATCCACTCACCTGTCCTCTGTCAGGACTTCGGTCTGCACCTCAGATTTGATTCCGCTCTTGCTCACCTGGGTGAAAATGAAAAGTCAGCCGAAGCTGTGTGGGAATTTCACCAGGCAGGTCTGGGGCTGAAAAGACTCACTTCTACTATGACAACGTCAATCTTCACATTCGGCGGTAGATTTAGATCAGGTTGGAAGGTTTTTGCTATGGCAACCAGCAGATGGATGGTAGCTAGGAGATCTTTGCTGTGGATGCCTGACAGGCAAACAACGGAGAACAAAACAAAAACACGCTCAACTTGGACTGACGTGACAGATCTCAAAAACATACTGTGTGGCAACTAAGATAAAGCAAAAGGACCTCGGACAAACAAAACAGAAGCACAACTAAAAGGGGCCATTTTGGAGAACGACATTCAAGGATGTTCTCAGAAACGGCTTCATGACTCAAAGGAAACAGGGACTCATCTTTAGCATATTGCAATATTTTGATACCTGTATCATTCTTATGCCCTGAAAACATGTCTGTTTGGTGTGTAAATGCAGAAAATACAAAGAAATAGCTGCATAGCTTTTAGCTTAATGGTACTGAGCATAGCAGCTAGTATGACGTACTGGACTTTGGTGTTATTGCAAGAGTACTTTCTGAGGTAGGAGGACAGCCATTAGTGAACTAACTAAAATTATTCACCTCACATCTGTTATTAGTATTAAGACCTCATCTTTTTTTCTAAGAACCATGTCTTTAAGACAAAAACCTCAAAACAAATAGACAGTAAACTGCACTTCATTGTCATTTTTAGGAGCTGCAATTTCCAAAACAGGTGTTACAGAAAAATCTGTGACCACAGGGGGCGATAGAGTGCAAATACTGGGTAAATTCTAATGCAGCTGGGATTGTATGACTCATGGCTCCTTTATTAGCCATTGACAGATAAAATATGATGTAATTACTTTGTATTTGAGGGTTAACACTGACCATCGCATTGAATCCCTTTGTGCTGTTATTACAATATGCAAACCAACTGTGGCTGTTTAATAAAATCGGTAACAGATTAAGAAATGGCCAGATTATTCTGAATAATCTGCGACCTTACTGCACAGGCCTGTAAATAATGTCAGAGTTTAAAACAACTATTTTTCAGAGTTCTAACACCTCATCACTACAATCCGGGTGTATTTATAATATTTAACCCTGAAATAAGCCCCTGCGGTCACAGGAAATGATGGGTCACACATTTTTCTGTAACACCTGGATTAAATTGAGAGTCACATCGCTCTGCATCACCAGAAGGTCACGTCATCATAAAAAGACAGTGCGCGCAAATTTCACATTGAGACAATCATTTGCTTATAAAATCCGGGGAAATTTGCCATGTTGTCTTGGTCTTATTTTCCTCAAACCAACTCGATCTCCCGTTTTAAATTTCTTCCAGCTGGTGTGAGTTTAGATGGCACCCTCAAGCTTGCACCAAAGCCTGTTGTGAAATGAAGCTGAAGTCGGTGCCAGACGGGGACATTTGTTCCCTCGTTGCTTTTTGTTGCCGAATCCAAGTCGACTTGCGTTGACTCACGTCTGACGTCCCATTTGATCGGGCAGCCGTCCTCCACACCCAGCATCTTGTCCAGCTCTTTCATGATGGCTTCCAGCTTATGGAGCTGAGAGGAGCTGGTCAGCGCTATCTCCTCCACGTCTATCTTCACGTTGCCCAATGTGGCTGCGGAAACCAGGAAGACATTGTTTCTGAGCTCGGGGTTAAGCTTCTGCGACTGCCCGTTTCATTTGTTCTCGATCCGCTTATTGAAATCACGACCGAGTGATTTGATGGGACATCAAGCGTGTTACAGCTCACCCAGCAGGTGATGAAGGACGAGTCCATCGTACAGATCCTCCTCCAGACTCTCTATCACGATGTGCTCTGCTTTCAAAGTCTTATTGATCCAGTCCACCAAGGCCTCTCAGGACACAATTAATCACACAGTTAGAAACATCAAACGCCTCATCTTCTCACAAACGTTTTTCTTTTACCAACGCAGCAGATGAAAAAAGAAAACAGAGAAAGAAGATAACAGCATGAGAGCCTGGCTGCTTTTTTAAACGAGCTTTGTCTATTCTCAGAGACGACGAAATGGACACATATGGAAAAATCTGCTGTTTCACTTGCATTTTCTTTTTCTAATTTGAGCTTTTTATTTACAACATTATGGACCCAAAACACTTAAGTTGCTATTTTCATCTGCAACAAAGGGTTTTAAACTGCGATCCATCAGACTCCCCACTGAGACAGTCTGATCTGTCTCCTGTCACGTCTTATAATTATGTTCATTAAACTTTCACTAAGCCTTCCCCCTCTCCCTCTTATCAGGTATAATTGATGTTCGGTACCATACATTCATACGTAAAAGCGCATATATTTGTATTCAGTTACAAAGCTCTGATATAATGGTACCGTTGCAAAAAAAACATAACCTCGAAACTTTGCCATATTTTGTCATGTTACAAACCAAAAAAAAAAAATTGTATGACTTTTTTTACTTAAAAAAAACTTTTGAAATGTACGGCATCCATTTGGATTAGCTTGTGTAGTTTCACAGAGTTTTTAATTTCAAGTAAGAAAATCATTTTGGTAACTTTTACTTCCAAATCACGCGTGTCGCTCTGTCACACGAAATCTCAATGAAAATAAAAATGTGTCAGAATTTGAGGTTGTTACATGACGAAATTACAAAAAGGCAAAGAAAATTCTCGTGCAAGGAAATATGTATCAGAGAAAAGTCTTTTCATCAACAGAAAATAAAATAAATCATCTTCTACCTGCTTTAGGTTTTCAAGCTTGGGGTCTTTCAAGGATGTCGGCTGGATGAGCTTCCTCTTCTCTCCTGTGCAGAAGTGAAGACGTTTTATTAAATGATTTACAATAATCTGTTTTACATTGTCAGGAATCTTTTTTGGCTGGAAAAATACACTTAAATGCTTTATGGGTATCGGATCAAAAGGACCAAACAGACTGCGATTCCTGAAAATCATCTCTCGAATCCGCAGGGCTTTTATTTTCCCTTTTAGTCTTTTAATCTCGGCCAACTTTTACTATCAGCACCATTAAGGCATGAAAAAGGAATAAGATGGAAACTGTATCATATAGAGAGTCATATGTCAACTTCAGAAATGCTCTTATATTTCTTCTTATTGAGACATAAAAATGTATTCATGCCACCCGTCACAGTTACTAGTACCCATGACAAAGAAGTAGAAAAAAATTGTAATTAATTCACTTTAATTATGTATCATTCATCTACGTGGATTTTTCACTCGCCTGAATTTTTTTATGTTTGGGAGAAAATGTTTCACTTTTATTCAACCTCAATTGGGAAACTCCAGTTTGTGATTCTAAAGGAATGAAATATAATACCTGGAGTATACTTTGAAATCAGTTTGAAGGAAAATGGACAAAAATGGCAGGTGGGTGTCTGCAAACGATACAACCTCTACCACTTAATTTAAGACACGCATACCCTGAAAAGACTCCACCTCCAGGGCTTCCTCCTTCTTGTGGTACTCGAAAGCGGCTGCCTCCATCTCCCCTCCTCTGGATGGCTCGCTCACTTTGCTGACCTGTTGGCAAGAATCTGCAGAGGAGTCAGAGGCACTCAAACACCGTCTGAGGAAGAGCTGAATATGCAAACGGCAGCAGAATGAAGAAACGCTTTGTATCAGGCATGTTGGAAGGAAGTCCCTTTTTCAGAAATAGCTTAGTATGTCTTCATGGCAAACTGACTCCTGTTTCTGCAGGGGATCGATTTGCTGGAAGGGAGGATGTTGATTCCCCTGACAGGCAGCTTATGGCTGAAATGTCTACAGCATCTTGCAAATGTGTTTTCACCTCACTTTGTCAAGAAAAACAAACTTTTTGAAAAAACAGTTCTCCCCCTTGCCTGTGGTGGCGCTGCACTGAGAACACAGAGAATCACTGAAAGAAATGACAACGAAACCCTCAAAACAAGACATTGCTCTGAGATTTTTTACATTTTTCTTAAACAAAGTTGGAGTGGCGTTGGTTGTAGGAGTTCTCTCTTGACATTGGTAAAAGACCACCAGTGTTTGTTTTGGTTGTATTTACCCAGAATACCCTGTGCTCTAACCCACTTCCTGCTTTCAGAGCGGTCTCCGGTCCGCTCGGCATTCGCATCTGGATTCGAACCACGCCAGAGTTCTCTCCAACGAGTCGAGGCCGAACCTCGTAGGAGAACCAGAGTTTGCTTTTTTGTTCTGTCCACATCAGTTTGATTGTGCATTCACACCTCCACAAATGAACTAAACTTTCCCGACAAACGAACAGTCTGTGATGGACCCATTATTCAACAACGCAAAGAGAACCGCGAAACTACAAATCTGTGAGGATTTGGTTTTTCTGTATGTAAATTGGTGTCTGTGTCGTCTCGTCCGTCCTGATTGCTCCCAGCTGTGTCTCATGTTTCCTGATTACCCCTTGTTTTGTTTTGTTCAAATTTTCCAGCGATGGAGCTCCCAGCCTTTTGCTCACCTGTGCTGCCTGGACTTTTGTACTTGCTAGAAATATTCATGAAATCATCAAACTCACTGGCTGCCTCACTTCTCTGCTTTCGGGTACCAACAACCGCAAATCATGGCAAAACCAACCCTGTGCACATGAAGTGACAAGTACGTTGAGCATTATCCACTTATCCTAAAAGACTTGTTCTTGTAAAAGTTTTCTTCTCTTTCCAGTCACAATGCTCCTGTACTTAGTGTTGGTCCAATGCAAAATCCCTGACGAGATATGTCGAAGTTTATGAATGAGAGGTGCGAAAACATTTCCAAGTCACTCTAAAAGTTCCACTTGTGAAAGTCTTTCGCTGACAAACTGTGAACTTTCACCAAAAGATCTGAAACAGGTAGTGGTTTCTTAAAAAAAAAAAAAAGAAAAATCTAATCTAAAAGTCTGAACATCAAAATAGGAAATGTCAGGTTTGCTCACTTCCTTTTTGTCAGCAGCACACACAGCAGAGTTCTGGTGCCACGAAGCCCTGCAGGGTCGCATGGCTCTGCCTCGAACTCAGAATATTTCAAACCCCCATGGTTTCAGACACAAAGCACGGCGAACGCCCAAAGTCACACATCCTGACAAAACAAACATGACATGAAGCATGTCGAGCTGTAGTTTCCTGGATCCGGAAAAAAAAAGAGGAAACCCTCCGTGAGCAACTTTTCTCCCCCCCAAGCCCCACATGTGTTTTATGTACGTGTGGCTTCTATTTCCTGAGGTTGACAGCAACTTTCAAACAAGGTCGTAAACATAAAGACTTTCTGAATAAGCTTACCTTCAGCTCGCTCCCTGAGAGCAACCACAACAAGACCGGGGGAGTTTCTGCTGAAATAATCCCTCTAAAAGAGGTTAACTCCAAAAGAGAAACGCGCTAAAACCCGGAGTGCAGGATGTTGGAGGGCTGCTCTTCCATCTGAGAAGAGACACTAATGAGATCTGCGAGATCAGCAGGCCCAACTGCAGATAACTGTGAAAGAAAAAAATGTCATTTGAGGGTCATAAAGGAAGACAAGCACAACTGAGAGGATGTGGCATGAAGGAAGGTAGCACTTCCTCTTCCTTTTTTTTTTTTGATACAGGCTTTACAGCAGAGCGTTTCCACATGAGACTGTTAGTGTTCTGCGACACGATCTGTATTTGAGATTATGATAAACTCAAGTATGAGGTGAGAAATGTATGCATTGTTTGGAGATCTTCGCCTCCTGAACCCTGGCGGGTACGTGACGTCGCTGAGGCCCGAAGCGTTCAAACTTCTGTCTTTGTGATTGGCTGGCTCCGTTTGCTGACATCTGGAGTTCAGCCTCGTCAATCCTACGTCAAAAACTGCTAAAAAAAAAAAAAAAATCAGACCAAATGAAAACCGGATTGAAGCGAACAAAAATAAGTGGGAAAGAAAACCTGCGAGGGCTCGTTGCATTGCTGAGGGAAAAGGAGGGGTGGGGGAAATACAGACCACCCATAAGGGAGACGAAAGGGCAATTTGGGAGATCTGGAAGGTTACCATAGCAACAAAGGTATGAGACAAGAAAATAAAGGTCTAAAATAAATCCATAACATCTTTACCCAAGTTGCAGGAATTGCCATTCTCTCTCTAAAAGCCAAAGCAAATCTAACCTATCACACACATAAGGCATCAAATGAACTCCTGATTCAGTTTCATTCCAGGCTTTTATTTCCTCCTGATGGGAGAGATGAAGATGAGAGATGAAGATGAGAGATGGGGAGGGGGGTGGAGAAAAACTTGCAGCTGAGGGGTGCAGTAAGAGCTCCGTCTAGATTGACTCATCTATTCCCTCAATTATTCAGTTTGGTTAGAAAATGCCTGAGCAGACGTGCTCTGTGCGTTTTCAGCAGGTCTCCAGGTAGCACCGCGCGGCCGCAGCCACTGGAGGAGCAGAGAGAGAGAGAGAAAGAGAGAGACAGAGAGAGAGAGAGAGTGGTCCAGACCTCCACCGAGACTCATTTAAAAGCCCGATGATGCCCCAGACCGGGGCTCTCCTGAGACGCAGGGAAGACGCTGCACTTAAGGTACATTGCAACATCAGCTTTTGCGGCTAATAAAACTGAATATATAGGCCAGGTCAGGATCCTTCACTGTTTCTAATGCTTAGAAACATTTGATAAAAAAGATCAACTTTTTTTTACCAAAAAGTAAATCTTAAAAAAAACAAAAAAACATACATACACGTGGATTTCATGTCCGTTTTTGATCATTTGTAACTCATTAATCTGTTAGATGGGAGAAATTAAATAAAATTTGCCAATAGTCTGCTTTCATAAGAGCTACGTTCTGTTTTTGATTCAGTTTGAAGGATTCGGCCATTTTGAGTTAAAATCATCCGGCATCAACTGCATTAGATCCGATGATTCAGAAATAAAGTTCAGGTAGGACTTCCTCCACATTTGCTTGACTGACAACCTTAATGCAAACTGCAACGTTAGCGAAAGAGTGCAAAGGTCAAAACAATGTAACTTTACAAAGGTATCAGTGTGGAGGAGGGTAGCTAAAAAAAATTACAAATCCTGCAGATAAAGCTGCAGAAGTTTCCTACAAGTTCTGGCTGCGTTTGGCGAGCTCCCATACTCTGCACATCCAGACTGAAGAATAAAATCTTTTCTTCCAGAAGGAGCATCCAGGCCTAGCTAATGTCATCTAAAACCTCCCAGCAAAATCACGTTACGGTCGATTTGATGCGAATCGGTGCTTAACATCTCAAGATACTTACCCAAATATGGCTCTGGCGGTTTCCTGATCAAAGTGTACGTCCAAGACAATAAAAGAACGATTTCATGGGAGGCGAGCTAAAAATCTGAAATCTGTGGAGACACAGGAAATGTTCTCACAGTCCCTCAGGAGTTTGGGCAAATATTACCATGTTAGCCTGAGGGATGCAGACTGGAAATGGAAATTAAATCCCAAAGAGTTTGTTTTTAAAGGTGCTCCCTGTTTTGTTTTCAAACATGCTTCCTTTTGACATATCTGTCGTCGGATTTAGTAGTTCGGGACAAATATTGAGTTATTTCTTTTTTTAAAAGATTTTGAAATTTTTTTCTTCACAAACACTTGAAATTTTAGAAGGAATGAGTACAATTTTAAGAACCAAAGTATTTTTTTGTAAATGAAGGCACCTGTGGATTTTTTTTTATTTGGCATTGTTGTATAAAGCCTAGGCGAATGTCAGGGTGACATCCGCTTTGGCAAGACAGATGCTAATGAACAGCTAGCATCTAGGAGGTATAGATTGTCTTAGCTTAGAGAGGACATTCGCAAAATTGAGGCACCATATTGTGTTGTTTCTAGCTTTCTAGAAAAAGCTTGTAAAACTTCAGAATCCAGAACAAGAAAACTGTTTCCAGTCGTTTACAGCCGGCATCAGCTTGTCCTCAGAGCTGCACAGATAAACAGCATCAGCTTGTCTGACTGCGTCTGCCAAGTCCAAATTATAGTGATTATGTTAGCATGACTAATTATTTAAGTAGAAAATCTCAAACTGAGGCATTCCCACATCCTCTGATGGCAGAGAAACACATCTGTGTTGCACAAAGTCTCATCCTGACAGGTCTGTGGGTGCGAGAACTGAAAAGAAATGTAACTCGGTTTCTTTTTTTTGTTGTTCCTATTTTTGCTCCTTTAATATGTGTTTTTATTTCTTCGAGTCACTTATGGTTTAGATATGCATTGTGTTCGTCTTCGGTAGAATTTTGGAGTTGAATTTTCACCTCTGCACTTGTTTGTCAAAGGTTTGTAGCTTTTTCTTTACATCAAAATTCTCTGATTGCTTTTATTAATTTCTTAATTCATTTGAAATATTTTACATTTATCAGGTGAACCTTATTTTGCAGTGTTTAACTCCGGTGTGTCGCACTGTTACAGAAATAAAAGCCTTGCCTTAATGATTCTTCTGCCTGTAGGAAAATTAGTGTTAATGATGCCTTCAAAATAGTGTGAAATATTCAGCTTTACTTGACATTCTGCTGTGAATTTTGTGCTTAAAAACAAATCTGGGTGACCCCTCTCATTTCGCTTTTCTTGCAAGAGAATACAGTTTTATGAACTGATTCTTTCAGTCTCTTCTACAGTTCTTTATGTGTTGGTGTTCAAGACGAGTAGTAGTAATGGCCCTGCAACGTTTGGTAGGTAAAGCAAAAACCTTAACCAAAAATAATTACCAAGTCGTCGTCTTGAACAGATAAAGAGGTTTTTAAACAGGAGAATCGTGTTTGTGCTTATTTCAGAGAATCCTGGTGTCTCAGAGTCTGTTTGATTTTAACATAAATGTTAATTTCTACACATGTATCTTATCCTAAATACTTTTATTTTGACCCCGTATAAGTTACCAAGTCATAAAATTTTAACCAAAAGGGGGAAAAAAAAAACAGGGCAAAAAAAACAGCTTCATAAGTTTTTTTGCACTATTTTTAATTAAATATGAGTTTTAAAGGACAGTTGTTACATTCACGTACTTTTACAACATACTCATCAGTACAAGTTTTGAACAGACCGCTTTGTGTCTCGTACATCTCACAGAATTAACGGCTTGAGTTTTGCATAGGCTGAGCAAATATAAGAAGAGCTAAAATATAATACGCTTTTCTATTCTGATTCTGGCTTTTTATTTTATTTTTTGCAGCAAAAAAATAAAATGGAATAAACATTTTCATCTAAAATTTCTGTTCCATTTTTCCGTCTGAAAAACTCCACGATCCAGACACCTTTTGAAAATATCAGCAAAAATATTCAGCACTGATAGCAATTAGTTGATTTCAGCACAAACCTTCTCCAGCGCCGTCATTTCCCCATGACTGCTGTATTTAAATGCAGAGGCTAAAGGTCGCCCAGCTTCTTAAGTCGCAGATAACTTTCGAGGATGGAATAAATAAATACTGACATTTGGAGATGATTAAAGAAGAACGTTCAGAGCCTTGTTCTGTCCGTTCCTCCGGGGGGTTTCGGTTTGCAGATAATGATGGTGTCTCTCAGTCCCAGGTGGCCGCCTCCACTGCCCAGAGCGTCATTACGGCGTGCTCAGAGTTACTCTGGCCAGAGTACTGCCGGGGAAACGGGTTCAGTCAGAGTTTTTGTAGTTGGTGAACAGGTTGTAGAGGACTCTGAGGGTGGATTTCAGGTTGAGGTTCACCACGTCTGCAGGAAACATAAGCAACAATTGAACTGATTACTTTTAGATTGCTCTTACACAAAGGTTCTTTTTCCACATTGCGAGTCTGGTGCGCGATAAGCGCCGGACTGCTGTCCTTTGAGCAGCTTTAAACAGAGCCGCAGCCTAAAATAGATCCCCAAGAATTTGCAAAATGATTATCGTGTGATGTATCACTCCTGGCTGAGAATTTCAGAAGCACAAAATAGGTTTCTGTTCTTTTTTGGAGGCGTCGCAGTGTGCCACATACACGACTGAGCTGAATTAATCATTCTGGGTCTGGGTTAATCGGGGGACCAGTCTTTGTTCGGGATCTCACTTGTTGCCCACCATGAACCTCGCGATGAAAGAATCCCAGCAGCTGGGATTGCAGGAGCTGGAAGGAGCTGAATTAGTGTAGATGTTGGGAACAGAGTTGATAAGTAGTAGAAGGAGAAAGAACATTTACACTATGGCTGCACAGGGTGAAATAACATCAAAAGACCTTGTAAATAATTCTAAGATTTATACTTATGACTGTAAATCTAAATATGAAATCTACATGACAATAGTTGGCCATAGT